GTTTTTTTTTTTTTTTTAAGGAATGCTTGAGTGCCTTTATGGGCTTTGGACCCCTGGCTGAAAACCCTGACATGAAGATGATGAAAATAGAAAAAGATAAAACTTAGTATCCTCCAGTTATTGTAATAATGAATTGCTTCATGATGTCACAACAAATAAGACTATTTACAGTATACATTCAGAAGTAAGGCAGTTTTGAGAGCCTTATTCATTACATCACTGTTAAGTCTTCAGACAACATAAAAATGCAGAATCAGCCTCCAAGGCCCAAAGCTTTCAGGACAGACCAGTTCTGCACAGATTTTGAAATCAGTCAAAATGGCCACAAAGGCAGAAAATCCACATACGGATCACCGGGACTAGATTCAAGTACATTCGGCTCATATATACAAGGCCAGAAGATATAGATGAACATAAACAACGCTGAGAGCTGCGCGCCCAATCTATATGGTGACACCACATCGTGTGTTAAATACATTTATAGATGCATAAATTCAATTGCATTTAACAAGTGTTTGTGACTTTGTGACATAGCAGGGCAGATCTCGCAGAATTCTACTATTTAGTAAAGTGTACCTTTGGTGTGCGGATGTGCTCCATGATGTCGCTGTTTTAGCGTGGTCAGCGCAAGGAACGGATGACAATATCCTAAACAGATGCGTTCACACATCGGATGAATAAGTGAAGAATAAATCCGCCTCCGTTTGAAGCCAAGTTCAAAACATCTCTTCTACTAACAGCTAACAGTTTCTGCTGCTCTACTCAGCACTTCCTACTTGGGGCGTGTCTGTGAGAAAAACAGACAGGTGCATTCTGGGAAATGTAGTTTTCTGTCGCGTCTTGATACTTTTAGTTTTTCATTTGATTTTCAGTGTAACCTAGTGTTGGTAAAAAACATATAGCGTTTGACATATTAACATTTCATAATATATAAACCATATATTATGTATATTGTGAGTTAGCCTTTAATTAGAACAGGGGTTTTCAATCTTTTATATGCCACAGACTCTCAAATATTTGTAAGATCCTCATTTGTAAGTTGCTTTGGATAAAAGCGTCTGCTAAATGACTAAATGTAAATGTAAATGTAAATATAATCACCCTTGTGCTGGACCCTCGTCCTTAAATTTATAATGCAGCTATATATGCATAAAGACACAAATACTGTGATACTGTGTAATATTTATACTCTGATCTGATGATTTACATTATAAATTATTATATTACATTATAAATTGTTATATTATATATTTTTTTCTACTCACTATTACTGCACGGTATGATTATTCGATTAATTGATCTTTAAATTCCGTATTTGTGTTTTGCATGTTTTATTGATTGTGTATGGTAATCATAATTCTTTCACTTGGTTTATTAAAAGGAATATAAATTAAAATTAGCTGAAAATATACTCACAAGTTTCTTTCTTCTGTTGAACAAAAAAGAAGATATTTTGGAGAATGTGGGGAACCAAACAGTTACTGGTGCCCACATACTATGGAAGTCAATGGGGACCAAAAACTAGTTTGGTTACACACATTCTTCAAAATATCTTCTTTTGTATTCAGGAGAAGAAATTCATACAGCTTTCTAAAAATTTGAGGTAAATGATGAAGTTAAAAAAATGACAGAATTTTTATTTTGGGTGAACTATGTCTTTAAAAGATTCGTTCAAAAAAACAGATTCCTTCACGGATGCAACACCTCTGAAATATCATAAAGGCAAAAGATTATTTTGATAGTTGCTGAAATATTAACTAAATAGTGGAAATATGTCTGTAAGTGTGGACAGAATATTAATAGAAAGTCCAACAACAGAAACAAGACAAACACCAGAGTAGATGAATAATGGATTATTTAGTTCAATAAATCACACTGCCTGCATGGACCTTCCAGGCCAGTAGGTGGCAATACGTCGAAACAGATGATGTTTGAATTTTACCGCAAAAACAAAGAGACACTGAGACAGAAGAAGAAGAGCTTGTGCGCGGAAACACGGAGCAGCACGGTTTTCAATACTTAGAAACCCACAGGAGTTTTAAAAATAAAGTAAACCTCGATTGCCTAGTTTAGAATCTTTTATTCATATCTTCTTTATACGCATCAGAATTTCGTGGTGGTTGCTTTTATTATCCAACGTATGCCGTAAGAAGTGGCTTCAGGGCCTCCACGAGGTCAGTCCTGCTTGTGTCTGATTGTCAATTTTTGGACATTTAAGTCCAGAATGTCCAGCTTTAACTTCGGCACAAGTACCCTCGGCTCCACCGGCACCGGCGGGGGGTTCTCACTTGGAGCAGCGACCAGGTCAGCTTTCAACAGTGTGCTCGTTTTTTAACGAGATGTGCAGGACTATGGTGTAAAACATAAACACGTCTAAAATGACAGCTTAAAATGCTAACTTTAATTGGATGGTCAATAACAATTTGCTGTTTACAATTCAAGCTGACATTTTAGTTTCACATTCATTTTCAATGGCCTACCATAAAAAAAGTATTTACTAAATGGTTGTCTAAATGTATGTTGTTATTTTGTTTTTAAATAAATATATTTTTATGTAATTACAAATGACAAAAAAGTGAATAATTTTTTTAAAATGCAGATAAATTTTAATGACATTAAAATGTTAATGTTAGTAAAAACAAATATGATTTTTAATGTCTGATATCTTTTTCCAGTGCTCCTGCTGCAGGTACGGGTGGATTCGCATTCGGAGGGTTTGGCACGCCGACATCCACACCGGCCACCACCAGTACCACCTCCACACTGGGATTTGGGTCCAGTTTATTTGCACAGAAACCAACAACTGGAATCAGCTTTAACACACCTGCCTCAGGTTCTTTGTTCTTTTATGACACATAATTTAGTGCCTTAGTAATAAATAACATCATAGTTAATTCATTTTGTTAATTCATTGTCTAATTAACACTTTTAGGGGCTGCTGCATCCACTACTGGCCTTACTTTAGGTAAGCAATGCTTCAAGGAAACAAGTCATATTTCTTTAGTCCAGTCGGCCTCAAACCTTTTGACTCCATTGCCCCCTAATGTCCACAACAGTATTTTTTTTATAAAGCTTAATTAACATCTTAACTTTTTTTAACACTATTTCTACCTGATAAAATATTTTAGAGCTTGTGACATAACTACACTGTAAAAAAAACTAATTTCCAAATGTGTAAGTAAAATAATTATTGGAGAAAGTACTGTTTTAGTAGCAATTTCTGAGTGGAAACTGTTTATACATTTGTATACAAATTGTATATGCATATTCATTATTAAAATGCCCATGTAGATTTAACAAGATATGTATGAGTTTCTTTCTTCTGTTGAACATAAAAGAAGATATTTTAAAGAATGTGGGTAACAAAATAGTTGTTGGTCCCCATTGACTTCTATAGTATGGGAAAGAGAAAAAAAAATAGGCACCACAGCCTATATTCTTCAAAATATCATCTTCATTTTTAAGCCCCTTGAACGTTTGCTTTGAGAACCTCTGGTTAAATCTGTCAGACATGCTGTACTGATTTCCAATTTTTTCTTTTTGTGTTCTTAGGGAGTCTTACCACCTCTACCGCTGCTTCCACTGGATTCAGCCTGGGCTTCGGAAAACCAGCAGCCTCCGCTACACCTTTCTCACTGACAACCACCACCTCTGCAGCTCCAGGCACAGGCCTGACTCTGGGATCCGTCCTGACCTCCACAGCCCCTCAGACCAGCTCCACTGGCTTCTCCCTCAACTTAGGAGGAGCTGCCACCACTTCCTCCGCTCCTGCCTCGGGTTTTTCCTTTGGTTCCAGTCTCTTTTCCAACCCCTCCTTGACAGGTCAGCCTTTTTTCCTCTGTAGTCATGTTACATTTGGTTTAAACTGGTGGTTTTGATCTTATACTCATTTAATATGTGTTTCAGGTTTGGGACAGTCCAGTTTAGGTGGACCTCTGAGTCTGGGTGGTTTAGTCTCCTCCTCTGTCGCGACCACCTCTGCTCCTGCACTCAGTCTCGGCCTGGGTGGTGTAGACTTCAGTACTTCCTCTGAAAAAAATACTGACAAGTTATCCAGCACCAGACCAGAGTAAGAACCACACTACAATCACCTTTTGACTTCATTATAGATAATTTTAGTTGTTCTTACCCTGCCTTTTTATCTCTACAGAGACAGTAAAGCCCTCAAAGATGAAAACCTGCCAGGTCCGATCTGTCAAGATGTGGACAACTTTCAGTAAGTCTACCACATTTTGTGATAGTTGCATGAATTTGATTTGGTGCTTAATATGTGTCTTTCCACAGGAAATTTGTCAAAGAACAGAAGCAAGTCCAGGAAGAGATCAGCAGGATGTCTTCTAAAGCCATTCTCAAAGTGCAAGAGGACATCAAGTCACTCAAACAGCTCCTGTCCGTCTGTGCCAGTGGCCTGCAGAGAAATTCACTCTCCATAGACAAACTGAAGTTGGAAACTTCTCAGGTTAGGCAAAAAATGTCATGCAGACCATCCTAAACAGTTCAAGGATTGTTCAATCTTGTAATCCATCCTTTTCTTCATGCAGGAATTGAAGAATGCCGATATCGCACTTCGCACCCAGAAGACGCCTCCTGGACTCCAACATGAGAACACGGTGCCTTCCGAGTGAGTGAATCTGTGTGGTTTCTACTCCTAAATTCCATCGATAAGCAGTAAAAGTTACTTACTATTACTTGTTGTCCGCCAATGCGCTGTCCATCTGTCTCTTCAGTTATTTCCGGGCTCTGGTGGAGCAATTTGAGGTGCAGTTACTGCAGTACCGTCAGCAGATTGAAGAACTGGAGAATCATCTGACCACCCAGAGCAGTGGCTCCCACATCACCCCTCAAGGTTTTAATCTACTCTATGCTCTCAGTCAACTAATGCACAGCCTTGATTCATATGATAGAAAGATAGCTCGGGTATCCTCTTGACTGTATTATGTCATCTCTCATATAGATTTGTCCCTGGCCATGCAGAAACTCTACCAGACGTTTGTTGCACTTGCTGCACAGTTGCAGGGAGTTCATGAGAATGTTAAGGTAAGTTCTGAACATTTCTTATATGGACCATATTTAATGTTTTTAAATATGAATACTCATATATTGTAGATATATTATATACAATATATGTGACGAGTGGGGTGGGGCTTAGAGCCATGGGAAAGGAGCAAGGCCAGTGATAATGAGCACCTGCGCGCCACACAGAGAAAAAAAAAACACTAGCTTTAATCTTTTTGTATTCTATCTGTTTTCTTTTTATTTATTATACAATTAACAAAAGCAAAAAAAGGCCCATATTTACATACATATATATACACACACACACACATATTTACATATATGTGTGTATGTATGTAAATATATATATATATATATATATATATATGTAAATATGTGTGTGTGTGTGTATATATTGATGTATGTATATACACACTACTGTTTAAAAGTCTCTTGTGCTCCCTTATGCAGTTCTTTGGTTAAAAATACAGAGAACAATAATATTGTAAAATATTAGTATAAGATAAAAAAAACTGTCCATTTTATTATATTTTAAAATGTAATACTGATTTTGAAAACGGTTCTGCTGCTTCATATTTTTGTGGGCACTGTTATACATTTTTTTGGATTCTTTGATGAAAAGAAAATTCTAAAGAACAGTTATGTGAGACAGAAAAATATTGTAACAATATAAAAGTCTTTACCATTACTGTTAGTTGCTAAGTAAAATTGTTCATTTCTTAAAACCAAACTTTTATATTATACATGTACACATACATCAGTACATCAGTTTCATGATACAATTAAAGCACAATTATTATGTTTGAAATGTCTCTTCTCTCGTTCTCTGTAGACTCTCAAATATCAGTATCTGGGCTACAGACGAGCCTTCCTTGACGACTCCACAGACATATTCGAGTCAAAACGTGTTGCTGGCAAGAAATGGCAGAGCTCTCCGCACGTCACCACAGGCCCTGCACCCTTCGGCAGCGTTCCCAACGCAGCAGCCATTGCCATGGCTGCCACTCTCACTCAGCAGCAGCAGCCGGCTCCAGGTCTGACCGCCTTCAAGTTCTAGACCTCTTGACCTCTAGACTGATAGAATGATGAGGGGAGGGACAAATAGAAAGAACGAGGGAGGGGGAAAATGACAGAGAAGGGCAGATAGAGCAAACAAATTTAAAAATAAACCGCAAAATCAGTCAGTGCCATGTGTTTTTGTTTTTAAACTTTCTCTCTTTGAGATATAGAGCAACAGGGTTGTTTTAACGTACATGACGCGACTTTATGTGTGCCAACTAGTGTGCTGTGAGATTTTAGATGCTGACTGTCTTGCCCAACTTCTGTTTTCTTTCTTATCTCTTCCTCGCACAAGAAAAAACACGAGATGTAAAGCAAGAGCATGAAATGCTATTTAAATACAGCCCAAACATTACGGGCACATTCCAAACCTGTTCAAGGTTTAGAAAGGGGGTTGTCATCTTGAGGTGGTCTGTCTGTGTTTTATAGGGACAGGTATTCTATTTTGAGTGGCGCAGAAGGTCATAGGATTTGATCTCTGATATTCCAACAGCACTAATGTAGCCGTCACTACACAAAGTAGCCAAACACAGTAGACTCGCGTGTTACATACGGGACTGAAATGCTTTCACACCTATTTCCGTTTTTATACCCATAATCAACTAAACCTGTATTCCTTAATGGTAGATGTGAAAGTTGATATTTTGAAGTGCCAAACAAACACTTTTCAGTATGACCGCCGTGACTGAAGCTTTCTGAGCAATATGTTTGTTTTAGATGGGAATAGACAAAAAAGCCGAGTGGTTTGGTAAAGGATAAACATGCTATGCAGGAAAGAGATCGTCGTACGGTACCTTAGGATAGGAACACATTTGGTTCTTTCCATATTTTTCTCAGTTGGTGGCACCATACTGCTAACATGCATTTTGATAGCTGCATACTAAAATGATTATTTAATTGCTGTTGTTAAATAATTTTCAGAATCACTTGTTTTAAAAGTATAAAGCTTTTTCGCACGAGTGTCCACATTTCATTTGAGATCCGTTTAAATACAATGTGCATTGCATATATTTTGATCTATCAGAACAGCATTGTATATCAGTTGTTTCTCTTGGTAGCTTTGGCAAGTATTGTTTTGATATTTTCAGCATTTCATCTCGCATCAAAACCATGCTTGTTTGGTTTAGTTATGGAAAGACAATGTCAGGCTGTTTTATTCCTAAGTTCCTCCTCCTTTTTATGATTGTGATGATTTGAATTAATCGGATTTCCATGGGGTTTGCATATGCATGAGTAGATATGTATGAAGGGAGTGTGTAAGCTACTGATTCTGAGGTGAATTAAGGTCATTTACTGTATTTTATTGGACAGCTCAGTGAATATGATATCATTTCTGTGTGTTTTTTGTTCTTGATTGAAGGTTTCTTTGCTTTGGTGATACCCTCCATCCATCTGTAACCATGGTTGCATTTGTGGTTTCCATGGAGATTTCCTGGCAATAATAGCTGGTCGGAGGTGTGAGAGATAGTGATAGATGTTCCACTTCCGATGGCGCAGAATCGATTTACGCTGGTCTTATTCTGGGTTCTCAATCTATAGAGAAGAATCAAATTACAGACATTTTTGATTTGTGATTTTACTGGAAATAAGTCGACAAAAGGGCTTTATCAGTGTGATCCATAAGCCAAAATCATTTTGATCTAAAACTTGACTGTTCGTCATTCACATTTCATTGTTTTCCCAATTAATAGGCTTTTTTTTTTTTATCTGTACTATAGTATTTTTTGGAAATGGACCGTGCCTTTGTGCCTAAGAAAAATCTAGACTGTTGTGGGTGCTTTTGCATATTCAATTAACTGTAAATGTGTAGTGCGCTAAACCAACGGAATAGCTTAATTAGTTGCACAGTATATGTATACACACACAAGATGTGAGATGCATTTCCTTGTAGAATCAGCCCAACCACAACACACTGCAGTAAAGTCTGTTAAAGATGGAAATCCTACACAGACACTAGTCGTCATTCATTTTCTTACTTTATTTAAGGGCTACAGTGTTCAAGACTTCAGTTTGAGTGAACATGCTGCTTTATAGGACTATTGAGGGTCTGCGGTGAAGGATTGTGCCAAATTTCAGAATTTAGAAATGCAGTTTTTGTGATTCTTGGCCTTTTGGTGGCCCAGAGCTGCTATTTCGATCCGTCTTTCTCTACCATGGCTGTCATAACTCTAATGTCTCTAGAGTTATGACTGAACTCTAATAAAGGTGGTAATACCTTTTCAGACACCTTTTCAAATCGCTTTTCTCGCAAAAGACGAAAGCAACACACCTTCTGCTTTGTGGGAAAGCTATGAATTAGACCCTCAGTGAACTTTCACTATGAGCCATTGTTAATCTCAGATCTTACAGGCTTTCTTTTGCTTTTATTCGCCGATCTACTATACATACGAATGATCTTAATGCATGTCATGTTTTTAAAAAACGCTTTTAGGAAGTGGCTTTTGTGTGTTGGTACTTAATCAAAGCTCTTACACAGGATGTCTGTTTATAGACATGTCTGGTTCTTGGTATACGTTTCCATTCCTTGGAACACAAATGGGGCTTATTATTTTGGTTGTTTACAAATAGTAACATAGTCTATAATTCTATAATCTAACTTATAAATCAATTGTTTTTTTAATTATTATCATACATTTTTTGTTTAGGTGGTGCTTGTTGATGTATTTAAAATGGTGTGCCTTTTTGAATTAGATATCGCATTAGTCCTAACCATTGTTTGAAATGCATTTTTGGCACAGGTTGGCTTTAATCGTTTTAAACAGTGTTAATGCCATAGCTACTACTAGGAATCAGTTTGTCCTCAACTGTTTGTCATGTTTAATGTAATTTGAATTGACAATAAATCAGTTTTTTTAAAGAAAAGCCCTTGTCTTTGTTTCTTTTTGACTGATAAATCATTGATTTTTCTCAATGAATTGGATTAAAAGACTGCATTTGAGATGCTGATTTATCACATCTCTAAATTAATAATCTAATCAAATTTAAACCAGCTAAAAGGAAACGAGACAGGAGCACAATTTAGTAATGCATTAAGTAACAGCAGGTCTGCAGATGTCATTTAGGAAATAAGTACCTTTTGTGATATTAAGTGATTTAGAAAATCCATCAAAATAGGAAGACATTAGTGTGGATCCAAGGTAAGTAACTAGAAGCAGATTAGTACAATAAATAGAAAAAAAAATCTATTTGCAGCCAGTAGTGCCTATTTTTTGATGTTCCATTTGCTCCAACATCATAATGAACCGTATTTTAGATAATGCTGATATGGCTTTTATGTAGCTCTTACGCTGTGCCACTTACTTTCAATGAGGACGTTTTCCAAAAGTTGCTTTCAAAGCATGTGCTTCTCTTACAAGATTGTTAAATCAAATTTTTTGTTTGCTCATTGATAATATGGATCATTATGAGAGTGTGTGAGAGTAAGTTCCTCTGCTCTCTTTTTTTTTTTTGTCCCAGGACCACAGGCGCCCTTGGGGGCCAGTTTTGGCACTCCCTTTTCCTCTGGTATTGGCACTAGCATGGGCTCATCCAGCCTCGGAGGTACTTACTGTGATAAACCTCTCCTCTCCCTTTCCATCTCTGCACTCTTAAGTCTTTCAGTCTCAATCTTAATAAGACAGTTCACCCAAAAATAAAAAAATCTATTTGTTTTTCACCCTCATGTCACACTGAACCCATATGATTTTCTTCTGTTGAACAAAACTAGATATATTCATGAAGTTCAACACTTTATAGTGACCATGGCTTGTAAGCTTCATGAAATTGGTCTATACATCACGTCTTCTAAATCCATATGGTAGTGCTTAGATTTATGATTAGAATTCTCACTTATTCAAATAACAAAATCATTATTCACTGTAGGGCTGTGCGATTAATCGAAATCGAATCGAAATCGCGATTTGAGAAAGCCTGCGATGCGGACGCGATATTACTCTGTTCCAGAGCATATGCATGACTGCCAGCCTTGAGTTGCAGTCTTACTTGCCCTGGGCAAGAGTGAGCGCACCTCCGTTCTCCCCAATCAGCACTGCTCTAACCAACTGCGTAAACACCCACCATTAAAAAAAAAAAACGGAAAGCGGGACGGGAGAGAGACAGAGTGGGATTATGGCGTCTACTGGGTCAGATCGATAGTTAGGCAAATTAAAACTAAAGAAAACCGTATGCAACTTAAGCTTCGAAATGACAGACAACGAACAAAAAAATTAATTTGCAAGAGCTACGTCACAGCGCATATCAAAAGCTCCCTTATAGGTTCTGTTTTCAGTACTGGAGAATAAAAGATACATTCTTAGCACTGATAATCTTCCCCTATAGTGAGCTGTAAACTATGGAAGCTTATTTCACCATGGAATAAAATGATAAAAAAGGTAATTGTGACTTTATTTCTCCTAATTGCATGTTAATATCTCAACATTCTAACTTTTTTTTTTATATATATATATAATTACAAATGTGAATCTCGATTTGGACTTCTCAGAATTACGAGTTAACCTTTTAATTAATTTTTAAAATGTAAATTTTTTCTTAGAATTGAGTTTATATCTCATAATTATTACTTTTTTTCTCACAGTTCAAAAAGTCAAAAGTGTAAGATAAATAGTTGCAATTACCTTTTTTATTTATTTATTTATTTAAGTGATACTGTGACCAGTTCACAATTTGTATTCATTGATTAATTCACAAATTACTAGAGTGGAAAATCATCTTAAATGTTGGTCTTTTCCTCATTTTATTTGAATTTGAACTTTTTGGTGTTTTTTCCGTGCTTTATAAAATATTGAATAGCAAAAAGACAGAAAAAAAATTAATACAGGGTATGGAATGATGCCATATTTTAGTTTTTGAGTGAGCAATCAGTACTCTTATTGTTCTTTGTTTTAATAATGCAGAGATGTTTTTTTTATTGGTTAGGTTGTATATAGAACTTGCATTTTTCACATTTCCCTAACTATATTTTTCCTTCATCAGTTTTTCCTAGTTAATCTCAAATGTAACTCATCACTCATTCCTGTCCTCCATTCCCCCGCCCTGTGACTGAGAGTTTATCTCTGGAATATATGTAGTCGCAACACCTAAATGCCCCCCATCTGTCTCTCGGCAGCATTTGGTAGCGGCCCTGGGTTTGGGGGCGTGGCAACAGGAGGTTTGTCGTTTGGGTTTTCCTCTAGCAAGCCATCTGGAGGGAGCCTGAGCGCAGGTGTGTTTGTTAGCACCCTCCTCCATCTTACCCGCTTTCATCAACGCTAACCATTACTAACAGCTCCTCCTTAATTATAATTATAATTAATTATTATTAATTATAATCATCCTTTCCCCCAGAATGCATCAACATCATGCTGCTTAAGGGGCAAGCACTGCATATCAGAGAGCTTGAAATGTAAAATTTGCATAGTTTATTTGTTAACAGCTGTTGTGTGACTTGCTTAAATGTTTTTTTTTTGGTAGCAGTAAAGGTTGAGAAAACCTAAAATATTTACTGCTCACATTTTAAAATCTTTGTTTCTCAGGGTTTGGGACATCTAACACCTCTGGCTTTAACTTCAGTAACCCTGGAATTAATGCATCAGCTGGGTTGACCTTTGGAGTTTCCAACACACAAACTCCTGGATTTGGGACAGGAGGGCCACTGCTACAGCTCAAAAAGCCACCAGCGGGAAATAAAAGGGGCAAGAGATAGAACAGCAAGTTGATATAGGGGTAAAGGGAAGTGTCACGAGGTAAAGATGATGTGTGTCTCAGATCTTTATTTTTTATATATACATCTGTGTATGTGTATATATATGTGTGTGTGTGTGTGTGTGTGTGTGTATGTATGTGTACATATATATTTTCCCTGTTGGACACCATTAAAGGATTTTTGAGATTCTGTTCGGTTCTCCCCTTTACCCTTGTGACTATGCTGTGCTCTTTGGTTTATTGTTGTCCGAATTGAGTTATATCTAATGGAGCATATTTTGTGATGCACAGAATACCCGTGAAGGGATTTCAATGTAGATGCTCTCAGTATTGAAGATACTCATGAACAAAGTTTACCTGTGTTTTAGTGGCTTTATTTTAAACCACATGCTCTGTGATTGTAAATGTGTCATCCCATCCCATTAAGATGATCTATGTTATTGGTTTCCTGGTTACTTGTACCAAATAGATGTCAACCTGTATAAGAACGTTCAATTTGTATACCCCATTTTTGTTTCTGTCTGTTTTTGTTACCAAATAGTGATAAAAATTTATATACTTAAGCAGACTTTGTGCAAACAAGTATTTTTCGACTTGAAAACTGTTATTAAAAGAGGCGATAATGATGTCTTGAGTCACTTTTTATTTCTTTACGGAAATATTTTCTCGTTGTTTTTATGACAGATGGACTTCATAATTAAAGAAAATGTATTTATTTATTAAGAGTATTTTAAATCATTTATTTAGTACACGTGTATTTAAAACACTTAACGACTTTTTTTGGGGGGGAGGGGGGGGGAAAGTCGTGGCCTAATGGTTAGAGAGTCGGACTCGTAACCCAAAGGTTGTGGGTTCGAGTCTTGTACAAGCAGGGATTGTAGGTGGGGGGGGGGGAGGTACAGCGCTCTCTCCCACCTTCCCCTCAATAGGGCAGGTGCCCTT